CATCATTTGTTTGCAATGTGGTCCCTCATCCCTCTTCCTTTCCTGAACTCTGCTTGGACTCTGGGATTTCTCTCTCCATGTATGTTTGTATGTATGTATGGTCTCTATGTATGGTTGGAGTCTTCTTTTCATACTGCCCTCTTATTATCTTCTATAAGAAGTCCTTTCGTCTCATAGTATGTCCAAAGTACAACAGCCTCAGCTTAGCACCTTGACTTCCAGGGAGAGTTCAACCTTGATTTGCTCTAATCCTCATATATTTGTCTTTTTGACAGTCCATAGGACTTTGCAGAACTCTCCTACAGCACTACATTTCAAATAATTTGATTTTCTTCCTCTTAGCTTTCTTCATTGTCCAGCTTTCAGGCCCATGCATGGAAATATGATGGCAGGGACTTTGGTATGCAGTGATATATTTTGGTAAGAGTAAAAAGTGATAAATTTGAGAGCCAGTGTGGCATGATGGTTTGAGCGTTGGACTCTGGAGACTAGGGTTCGATTCCCCACTCGGCCATGAAACCCACTGGGTGACCCTGGGCAAGGCACATGCTCTCAGCCTCGGGGGAAGGTAATGGTATTGACTTAGGGTTGCTGTAAGTCTCAAATGACTTGAAAGCACACATGATGACAACAAATGACCTAACAAAAATTTACTTTTAGCTATTTAATATGAGAAACAATCTCCATATTCCCAGGAAACATTACTTGAGATGGGTAGAATGATAATATTGCTTTTAATAACTGGAGACAATTCTGTTCATGCAGTCCAAGACAACGCTGACCTTTCCTGAGATTGTCACCTGGCTTCTGGTTGCAAGTGGAAGTGACTCTGGACATTTCATGGTTGCAAATGAGAGAGTCATTTCAGGCTGTGGTTCATTAGAAAGAAGAATGAGGGTGGGTGAGGTTTAACAGTGAGTGCAGCTATGCTTTTATCTGACACCTAAAAACTAGGAGGAAGAAGATTCCTAAACCCTCAGGGAAGTAGTCTCAATAGATAGAGCACTCAAGGACTAACATCCCAAGGGATGCAGAAGAAAATTGAGATTTGTTTCTTGCTCAAAACATCCAGGTGTTTCCTGGCAAAGTCAGTTCCTTTTCTCCATGACATTGGCTAATGCCATATTTTTAGGAGGATGCTGTAAATAAATGACTGGTGGGAGGGGGAAAAAAGGGGGGATACTTTGCAGGCATTTTAAGGAATGTGAAAATCATCTTTCCAAAGATTGCATCCAGCAGATATTGATCACAGACATGTGCTGGAGGGCCTAGATCAGGGGTAGGCAACCTAAGGCCAGGGGGACGGATGCGCCCCCCCCCCCGAGGCCTTTGGCCCGACCCCAGGCCGGTCCTGCTGCCGCCCGCCATGATGATATTGATTATTGTTGTTATTACTTGTTCTTGGGGTTTTCTT